AAACCACACACCCTATTTCCTTCTCCCAAATCCACCACCAGCACAGCAGCCCCTGTTGCCCTGCATTACCCAGCCTGGCCTCACGTGACCGTGTCTGATCATGATTTACGACTGATCATGATGGTGATGGGAAGCACAAGCCGCAGGCTGGGACAGCCCAAAGATGCTCAAAAGTCCTCCGGAAGTGCTACATATTATATGTATCAGCTTGGCGGTGGCCGGGCGCCGGGACGGACAGTCCGGCGTCGTGTCCTGCATCTCCCGGTAATCATACGGGGACAGTTTGGCAGTCTCTTTGTTGACAGAGGTGCGTGCAGCGGAATTTGGGGCGAAATACGCTTCCACCGCCTGGATAAATGCGTGCGGGAAGTCATCCATGGAGGCAGATGACTCTGATGAGGTCTGCTCGACGCAGACGCACAATGCTGGGCGCGGTCAGTGGGGTACAAGCAGCAGGTTAAGTAGACGCACTGGCAATAATCTCCGCGTATTTTGAGTATGTCGGGGTGTCCTGTTTGACGCTTAGCAGAAGTTTCGAATGGGAAAGGATGGCGCCGTCCATACAGAAATCCATCTCGATAAGCGTGATCTACATGTCATAATTGCCGGCGCCTTTGGAGGGTTAAACGAGAAAACTTCAAAAGCACTACATACTAGATGTTCGTCGCTCTGAGGTCAAAGTCAGACAATTTTCCTAGACAAAGCCATTGTGATTACCAGGCTAGAATTGTTGAAGGCTGCTGCTGTGCTTCAAGATGTCCAAGGCAGCAGAGACTCCAGCGAGGCGTTTGAAGTACAAGGTTGTTAGCTGTGCAAATGGCGCCTTGGAGGGATGCAGCGCAATGATCTCCACTGAGAGTATTTGTAGGGATCGCAGTTCCGGTGCGTCCAGGATTCGCAGTCGTTTCAACTCCCAGTCACCCTCGGACGCCGCAATCGAAAGACGCTGTAGCATTGGAAATTGTGATCCAGCCAAAAACAGCTGGGCCAGCGTCTCCATTGGCACGCTTAGTGAGACGTCTCGCCAGCGAGATACCAGCGGGAGTAATGTCTGCGCCGTAATCAAGAAAGGCTGTCACATGAAGTGTAAGGGGGAGGACATTAGCGCGTGCAATCCATAGTTTTGTGAGATTAATCAGCTCAAAGCTGCTCTACGAATGTGCTTCCGTAGTCCGAGTTGTTGTCGTGGGACATGCGCGGCGTTCCGAGCAGCGCAATGCTCCCGGGTTAGGCTCCCTTCCCAGTTGTCGTTGGATCTAACGGGGATTTGGAGAGCCTCAGCAAACAAGAAAACGTTAACGATAGAGAGGACGAGGGCCTTGCCCTGGACCCACCCTGCCGGGGGCCTCTGCTCGCCGCAGGGCCCGCTGCGCGGAGCACTCTTCTCTTCCCTCCTCCCCTCTCTCACTTTCCTAGGTGCTCTGGAGCTTTTTATCACGTAGTTACGGCGCGGCCGGGGTTTTCCACCCGGACCCCACGCTGCCGCGGGAGGCCTGCTGCGCAGCTCGTGAATTGATCCTGAGCTGATTCCCGAGGTCATAGGAAGCATGCGTCGAGTGCATCAATCCCACTGATCACCCTTGCTTAAGGGCTGATCAGTGGGATTGACTCGATCAGTAGGACTGGTTTGGGGTGGCCCAGTCCCAGTCCCACTGATTTCGTCACCCCTCATACTGTACTTGTCGATATCGCAGGCACCCACCGAGTGTACATATTCGTCTCCATAGTGAAATGCGAGGTGGACATTCAAAAGATCCAATGCAGGGAAGTAGCTGGCTATGGATGCCAGCTTGCTGCTAGTGTCGCACCCCTCTAGCACTGCAAGCGTCAGATCCGTGACTGCTCCAAGTGCGTAGCGTAGGAAGGGCAGCAAGGGCGAGCAGCAGGGCTGGCGTATCGGGTCCCAGTAGCGTGAGCTTGTCAATGTTGGCCAGCGGAAGGATAAGCAATGCCAGCTCAAGCGTGGCTTGTAACTGTGTCAAAGTACGGAATGTGCATGGCAAATCGCGGTCCGGAGGGGCTACCGGGGAGGGAATGTTGTCGGTCGTGAGTATCAGGGACTCCAGCCTAGGAAAGGCGGTGTTGAGCAAGGTGGCGAGTTCACTGGTCTCCGAGCCTCTGATACTAATTGTGAGGTGGGTGGTATTCAGGAATATCGGGAGTACGGCAATTCCGCCCTGGCAGTGTAATGCCAGACTTGGCGCTGCTGCTTCCCATCGTATCTGCAGCGCGCAAACGCGCTGAGGCTACAAGGTTCAGCCAGGAGCTCGGTTCGCTGCAGTCGGCGAGTATCAAGCTGCTGATGGATATTTTCTGGAGGAACATAGAGCTGGCGAGAGAAGGGGGATTGCACAGTTGATGAGGAACAATGTCTCGAGTGATTGTAGCTGGGCGAGCGCACCAAGCGCCGCGGTCGTGAATTCTATCTGTTCAGCCTTGAAGTAGCGAAGATTGCCGAAGCGGGGAGTGTCGTGAGTACGCTATGGAGCATAGAATGAATCTCGTCCTCGTCGCTGAACCTGACATCGCTGAATTTATACGAATACCCAGAGTAGCAGCTAAGCAGGTTGACAGAGATGCACTTGACGACGGGCGCCACGCTATTCGACCCAAACAGTCCCAGTTTATCCTCCAACTGCTGCGTTTGCTCCGTCGTCAAAGGTATAGGGCAGGAACGAGAGGTTGGTGAGTAGGAGTGTGCGAGCCAAAGAGCAGAAGCGCCGCGATGCACGGGCGACATTGTGCAGGTCATCCCTTGACGCTCGTCGGAAGACGTCGAGGAGGAGCTCGTTGGGCAACACGGTTGTTAGGAGAGAAATGGTTGCCGCGTGAGAGCGTCACTGAGCGTGTGACAGCCGACTGGGATGCCAAGCCACTGCGCTCAACTTGAAAGACAGGTCTTGCTCTCAAGCTCCTTCTCCAGCTTAATACAGTCGGGTATCGGAGGACACAGTGCAGCATTCTGCGCTCAAAGGACTACAATGGTGCCCAAAAACCTTCACGGCCAACGTGTCCACGGACATGAATTTGATGGCTCCCTGTGCACGTGCATCAGCATGGTCCGTGCGCCGCCCGCCAAACACGGGTCATCGCCCTTCTTTTCCGCCCACTTTCCCCACACGGTCTGAGCCGACCTTGCGATTCTGCCCTCGGTGGCCCGCGCTGGTGTCGAGGAAGGAACAGCCTGCTTTCGAGGCAGGATGGACATGGGATCAGGCGCTTCAAAAATAAAATGTGGCTGGCGGGTGGGCGCCAGCGCACGGCTCCTTGTACATCGTATTTGTCCGTCGTCGTGGCACAATTTTTTTATCTTCCTTGACCCGTCTCGGCGGGTCTCATGGTTGTCGTGTGCAGAGGGACAAGGTGTGTTGTGCACTTGATACTAGTAATTGGGGCTCACCCATTGTCAGTGTAATAGACGTTGTTGTATCCGTGCACTACTAATCAACATATTGCCAATTTTCCCCCAAGAATGGTGCAGTCGCCGTTATTCGACCGATCCTCTGCGTCGTCCACTATGCGCTGGCATCTGGCTGCCAACAGCGTTGTCCCGCATCGGCGTCGCGTCTTTCGCTGGTAGGCACTTGCAGCGATGTTATACAGCATTTTGCGGAACACTGGCGCTTCCAGTTGATTGATTCCCGCGGTCGCCAGCTGACTCATCCCCGCATCTTGCTTCTCACTCTCATGGACGACCCGCCCTTCCCCCGAGATCGAGCTGCACATCTTTCCCGAGGCGGCGCTGCAGCGGCCGCGGGGCATCCCAGTGTTGATGCGCGTAGCGTGGTGGGTGAAAGAGTGGTGCGTCCGGCAATGCGTACTTTGGTCCGTTTTCTCTCGCTGACCAGCTGTGGCCGCCAGTGTGGAGCCGCTGCTGTACAACGTCTTGAGTCTTCGGGATCCGGAGGCTGGTCCGACTCTCAATACACCATTCCCAGTCTTGTCGCCGTCTGCCTTCAGGGCGCTCATCGAAGACCCCCGCCGGCAGGCATTCATCGCGCAGTCGACCGGTCTGCGTCTCGACGGAGAGCTCTCCTCGTCTGAGACTAACAGTATTCTGAACTCCTGCCCCCACCTCCAAGATGTTGTCATTCTACCGCGTGGTCTCATATTTAGCACGGCAGACGTGCTCGGAACTCTGCCCAACCTCCGGCGGCTCACCACGAACCTGCTCTCGCTCTACATGATGACCGCATCTCCCGACCTCTCCCGCTCACGCGCATCACACACCTCCACCTGTCGTTCTACCACCGCTGGCCGCAAGTCTGGCCGCCGCTTCTGGCGCCGTGCGCTGACGCATCTCGCCATCGATACAAAGGAGTGGTACCACGACATTCTGCAGAGGGACGCCCCACCGCTCGACATGTTGCTGGACGTGCTGTCGGATCCACATCGGCGGTTGAATGTATTCGTCCTGTCCTACCAGGCGTTGGGAAGGTGCCGCTCGACGAACGCCTCATAGAGCACCCTGCGTGCCTCCTGGTCCACCAGGGGATCGGCTGGCCGGAGTGGCAGGATGAGTGGACAGGCGGCGCGACTAGTGCGGGGTTCTGGGAGCGCGTGGATAAAATGCTTGCGGAGCGTCGCTCAGCGGGCGCCCCAGGGAAATATGACAATGATTGGTAGTCCTTCTAGTGGAAAATATTCTGTAAACTATTGAATCGGAATCCTCCAAGTTATCAGTGCCTTCAAGTGCGTCCACTTCTCACACGGAAGCGTGTTGTCATATGCGCGTCTGTCACAGTCTCCTCAGTTCTGTGAAGCACACGAAATCAACCGTATGCGGCACACCTAGTACCGCGTCCCGCAGGACATTATACGCTCCACGACATACTCAGCTCCGTTGAGGGGCAGATTCCCGCTGATCACATCAACGGGCATGGCCACGACTGTCGCGTCATTTGGCAGGCTGTCTATTTTGCTTGTCGTGCTCATTTCCATGGAGAGACGGGGGAGATGATCTGGGCCTTTTTAAACCCCTGGGATCCTCTACCCGTCAGATGACGGGAGCCGCACGCCACGACACCATCAACTTGGTTATCGATTCATGGAATACCTCCAAAGTTTTTCGTCAAGCAAAACTGCTTGCCGATGAACGATTAGATGCGCTCCAGCTGTTTGAACTGCATATGGCAGTAACTGAGGATCTCGCTCGTCAGCATGCAGACGAGGTTGGTGAATGGTCCCGGCTTTCTCGATTGCCACAAAAATCACGAACTGGAGAATGGGAAAGTGCTTATCAGCATAGGTCTACTGCAGGTACATAATAACCGACTTACTTTTGATTTGGGCACTGACTGGTTGTAGTAATAACTATCGAGGACGTTTTGTCAAGTATGGTGGCTGATGAACGATTGAAATCAGCCTCAAGATCAACTGGCGAAGACGAGCCTCCCTCGGCAGCTCGATGGATTCATGATGGGATTGATATTGAGCGACAGCAGTACGTATCACTAGGTTCTTGTCCTGTTGCTGTTACTGAGAACAGAGACAGAATGCTTATTATTGCGTTGCTTAAAAGTCATCGTGAGCATCCACTTCAAGAAACCTGGGACACAATAACGCGGGTTCGTGATACTCTGAATACGGCACTGAGACAATTTCGGGAACACCAACGTGCAATTTACCCACGTCTACAACTCAGCGCTCTTGACATTGATGAACCAGAGTTGACCGAGATTCAACTCCCGTCCTGGCGAATCAAGCATCACCAGCGCTTGGTTTCCAGCACTGATCCGGATGATGTGGCATTGCGGGCAGCTGAGATCAAGCTCAGGTGCAGTCAAGCGGAGAATGGCATTCTGGCAGTACAGGCTGCTTCTTTGGCATTGTCAGCAACGAAAAAGGCTCGTGAGCTTGATTATCGTGGACAGGGTGGCATTACACGCTCTCAACGAAATGAGCAAAAGGCCATCTTGTCAAGGATCACGAGATCAACACGCACAACCGAGCTCGAGATGCGTTGGTGGACCTGGACCATATCAAGAAGGACTCAGATCAACCATTTCCGACTCTCAGCCGACGTGATACGCGGCGCAAGGAGACACATCTCCATCGTGCAAAAGGAGACTCACGTCTTTTTGATGGTACTGCTTGGTATCTACAAAGCGGAACCAAGATTGCCTCAAAATCAATTTCTTCATTACTTCAGCCGCTTTCAGATGGAGCTAGTGACTCTGAGGATGAGCCACAGCTACTCACAGGGACCAAGACACTCAAACGATCTGGTAGGAATATTTCTCAGCATACTCAAATTTATTTTGAATATTTATAGGTCCTCAGAAATCACCTCGCCCTGCCAAACGTGTCAAAGACATCCTACCCAACACCAGTGATGAGGATGAAGCAGCAGAGAATGGCACTACAAATTCACCTGGGCCACCACAGGGAAGAACACCAAAAAGGTTACACAAGAACAAGTCACCTATGAAAAAGGCAACCAAAAGTGATGGTTGGATCTGGATGGATAGTTGGACAAAGGGTCATATCTCCAATGACTCTAAAGTTGCTGAATATAAACAAGAAGGTGTGTGTTAATATGCTTAACTTATCTTGTCACTAAATAATAAAATAGCGGATCGTGTACAGTACCTGCGTGCTGAAGCTGAGATGTACCGCTGGCTAGAGCAGTATGAAAGGAAGCATGCTGAGCTCTGGCGGGTCATTGAGCGCTTTGGGCATGATGCTACTGTGTGGGAGGGCCTTGCAAACCGTGCAGAGGCACAGAATGGTGTGGCATCAGGGGCTGTAACTTTTGCCCGAATGCAGGCTGCCATGTCCAAAAGGCTGCAACACAATGCTAGGGTAATCTTTTGCCACCCTGACTCTGGTGCACATCATGATTGGATTCATGCAACAAGTTTTGATGATCTCATATCCCGAATTGGGCATTGGCGGGAGGCAGTGTTCAAATGGATGGATAACATGGGTATTCACCGTGCATATAAAGATTTTTGAATATATTTGTTTATTTATTATTTTATTTTATTTATTTATTATTTTATTTATTTATTATTTTGATATGAGAAAATTCATTATATACAACATACATGCCAACATATAGTGAAAATCAGAATATAAGGAGGGAACTTAAGTTCACAAGCCAGACTTAAGAGGATATTTGGTTTGACCAGTAGAACTTAAGATAAGCTAATTTTATTTCACACACACCAGGGGATATATGGACCGGGCCCGAGGGCTGGATTTCTAAGGCGAAGGAAGAGCCGTGGGGGGTGGCAAACTTGTAGATGCAGCGCAGCAACGGCTAGCAACGGGGCGGCGGCGGCGGCGCAAAGCGGGTGGAGCAAGAAAGCTGACGAGCACGGGGAGTGGCATTCGACCATAGTCCTGGACGCACTGCCGGCCCGAGTTATGAGAACGAGCAGGCGATGTCTGGAGTAGAAATGCACCAGAGAAATTGGGCCTCGGATTGTCGTTCGTGTGCGGAGTGGCCCGCAGGGTGCGCTTAGGTATCGTCGTGCAAGCGCATCGTCGTCGTGGAGCGGAGGAAAGAAACCAGAGATTGATGTCACGGCCGCCGAGCCCGGACCTGATGCCGATCGCCAGTGCCACGTAAGCAGCCACGCCTTGTCTTCTCCTTCCATGTGCGCGGGAGACGGTCCCGCCCCTGGTCGGAGCGCGGCACGAATGCTATGCTTGAGCCACAGCGCGAGTAGGAGCAGGGATGGGCTGCGACGGTCGATTTGGCGTGGCTTGAGGTGCGTGTTGTGCATTCAGTCTCTATTTCGCTGATCTACTCCCCCAGTAATCCCTCACTTTTCGCTGGCGAGTCTGACACCCAGGGTGGCGGCCTCTACTGGGCGGAAACAAGCGGCGTGAAATCAGCCGCGGACGGCCCGGATGGCAAGCAGCAGGGCACAACCAGGCGGGGACAAGGTGCGTGTGCTATTTCGTCCGCGTAACTGGGTCCTGATAATTCGCTACGCGTGTTCAAGTTTTTCACGGTCGTTACCCATGTCTTGCTCATCACGCAGAGCCAATCGCTCATTTCACTAATAGGTCTACTGCCCCCACCGACGGCGCTCCGCCTTCCGCAGACACCACCGGCCCGTTCGCCGGCGCTGCAATCGATTCCCATTCCACTCCTCTCCACCTGCCCCCCATGTCCTCTCCAGTCCCCGTCTTCGACGCAAAAGCGATGCCCTTCCGCCCGGTTGGGCCCCAGCGGTCTGCGCGTGCCGCTCTTCTCTCTCGGCGGCTGTCCGTCTTTTGCGCATTCCCCATTGGCTTTAGCTGAGCTCTCGACAGGGCTCACCCTCGGAGGCTCCGTCGTCGGCGAGAGCGTCAAGGACATCATGCAGGCCGCCGCCGAGAATGGGATCAACATGTTCGACACCGCGGAGGACTACCAGAAAGGTGCGGCTGAGCGCGAAATGTGCGTTCCCTGAGATTCCCTTCTGACCACGCTTTCTCTGACTCCAGCAAAATCAGGGGACACGCTATCAAAGAACTTGGCTGGCGCCGCACGGACCTCGTCATCTCAACCAAGATATTCTGGAGCCACGAGCCAGGCACGGGCCCGAGCGACACGGGGCTGTCGCACAAACAGTGCGCCACCTTCCTTTCCTTCCTACAACTCTGACTGGCAACAGCGTTATCGAGGGGCACGAAGGCTTGTTTGCGACGGCTCCAGATGGACTATGTCGGCGTCATCTTCGCGCATCGTTGCGATACCACCGGTGGGTTTCTTACATTCGCCATAAGGAGGTCAACTGGCGCAGGCTAGTTCCGATGGAGGAGATCGTCCGCGCATTTAACTATGTTATCGACCAGGGCTGGGTGAGTGGTGGATTTTGTCTATCCATATCCACTAAGATTCACACGCAGGCTTTCTACTGGGGCACCTCCAGTGGAGCGCGCACCAGATCGAGGAGGCGCATCGTGAGCGTGTACCTCTCCCGAGACCTCCCGTCGCTTACCCGCCAGCACAGATGTTGCCACGCGCTTAAACCTCATCGCGCCGATCGCAGAGCAGTGCAAGCACAAGTCTGCGCCATCTTCTTTCTTCCTTCGAAATAATGCTGAGGAGACGATAGCATGTTCCACCGCGAACGTCCGGAGAAGGAATACGGCGTGCGTGGGCAACCATCAAACTTCAGCAGTAGCTAATGCTGACTTTGTAGCCCTTTGTACGCCAAATGCGGCCTGGGCACAACCGCATTCTCTGCACTGCAGGGCGGACTGCTGACGGGAAGGTATATCCTCCTCAACCCTCTAACACGTAAACTAACTTTGCTAGTACAACGCCGGCATCCCAGACGGCACGCGCTTCGCCACCGTGCCCATGTTCCTGGGGGCGACGGAGGGTCCCCAGGGCGAAGAGCTGCTTTGGAAAGTGCGTCTCCTCAGCCAAATTGCTGCGGGTGCGTCGTTTCTCCCGACTTGCTGAACTCTGGGCGGAACCGCGCTGGCGCTCGCGTGGGTTGCGGCGCACCGCCACACTTCCACAGTCATCCTCGGCGTGTCCTCCGTCGCACAGCTCGAGGCGAACCTCGGCGCGCTTGAGGTCCTGCCCAAGCTGGATGCTGCGGTGTTGGCGCGGATCGAGGCTGTGTTGGGTAACCACCCGCAGGAGCCGGTGCGTATTTCTCTATCCAATGATGAGGTGGATAATGCACTAATGATGTTGGTGTAGGAGACGTATGGTCGCCCGCCGCTGGATCAGGGCATCCTTTGACTCGGTGCAATATCACCCCTATCTTTCCTTTGACCACAAGATCAGCTCAAGTAAGGAAGAATACAAATGCCACTCATTCTCTCGTTTATCAATATTGAATATCTTTTGTGATCTGGTGTGCTCAATTCGTATGTGTCTATATCATGATTATCGTCCTTTGTCCACTGGAGGTTGAGATGGAAGGGTGGTGCAAGTATCAAATCCAGCTCAGATTGGGGCACGGCGAAGCAGCTGCCTCCGTAGCACTTGTCCTGTCTGCATCACCAAGGTGTCGGACGAGGAACCGCTCCGGGGCCACGGCGAGAGAACATACTCGTGTCCAGTACTTGACTTCGAGCCGCTGCAAACCCAAGGGAAGACTAGCCGGGAAGCCCGTGAGGAAGGCGGCAGGCTGTGATAGTATTGAGTAGGGTATGGGCACAGTTCGGATGGCGACACTTAGGAGACATTCACTTACGGCGGGCACAGCGTCCGGACAGCATCGTTACGGTGAAGTCGAGGGTATGCAGGTGCGGAAAATGTGCAAAGACCCGCCCCACCACGGCAAGATCGCCGTCCTCCGAGTCGCATTCGAGGGTGAGTGTCGTGATTGTCACGGGGATGCACTGCCTATTGCGCTGCAGCACGGACACTAAGCTTGTGGCATCAGCGTTTTCGACATGCAATGTGTGGATAGACGGTGCAATCCGCAGGAGGAGGGGTAAAGCTTCACTGGCTTCATACGTGGTCGTGAGCTTGAATACAGCGGGAAACAACGGTTCGCCGCCGTTAGGGCCATCCCACGGCAGCCCCGGATCGTCCACATAGAGTGCCGCCTCGACACTAAGCTGCTCAACTGCGGGAAAGGCCGCTTGCAGCTGCACACAGCCAGAGTAGGTTAGCAACGCGCCGCAGCCCTCGGAGAGTCTAAGCGCCAGGTGTTTTACGTGAGGTAGCACACTCGTAAGCCCTTCCACTGGTTGATCCATGTCCAGGCTGACCGCGGAGAGTGTGATGGGCTCAAAGAGCGCGAACCATTCTGAGCGTGCACGTGGGACTGTATGCTGCCGAGGTGGCGACTTTGACGCTTGAGACACGGATACGGATGTCGAGTGCGTTAATAGCGGCACGAAGGAATGCCTGGATCTCGGAGTCCACAGAACAGGCAAAGAGATCCAGCTCAATCGGGCCGCGGACCTGCGCAAGGTTGGCGAGCGCAGAGAGCGTGAATATGAGACTGTGGCCATAGAATTTGCGTAGGTTAACGAACTTGGAGATGCCGGCGAATAGCACGTCACAGATGGTGTGCGTGCCGGCTACATCGTTGAATACTGCGTCTCTGCTTCTTTCGGCGAAGCCATTCACTTCCTCCCAGGCGACATTGATGCAGTGCACATACGGCGCAATGGCGGGGGACATGAAGAAGGCCAGTTTTGCGATGGCATCCACCACCTCATGAGCAGGTGGGAGCTTAAGGATGGCGCCGCCTGACCAGGCAATGCGCTCCTCCGCGGGCGCATATGGCTTCACGGCAAGCTTGCTGTAGAGGAATGGGCGGGCAAGCAGGCGCAGGCGACGAGAAGCAAGAGCGACGAGCTTGAGCTGGGCGGGCGACACATCTTTGAGCACGCCGTGAAAGAGTTCGTTCGGAAACATGGAGCGACCAGTTGCAGCCAAGCTGGAAGTGAAGAGAGGAAAGCGCTGCCACATATTGACAGCGCACACGTGTGCCCAGCCAATCGGCGTGCCCGGCGCGGAGCTAATCATGATGTGATCGCCCAGTCACATCTTACGCAATCGCCTCCCTTTTTGTTCCTGACGCCCATCTCGGCGCACAATGCCAGCCTTTGCAGCACACCTGCGGCGCCAGCTGGCGCAATGCTACGGCAACACTAACCGATACGCATCGCCAACCACCCCTTCTCCAGTCGCCAACTTCTCCGGGAGTCTAAATCTGTGGCGACACTGTGCTGCTGGAGATCTTTGCCTGGCGTGTTACGCTGTCCTCGCTTTCCCGACATCGCTGACCGAGCGCGCACCTTTTTTACAAGCCCACTCTTATCCTAGCTTATTCTCTGTCTTCAGACACCAGTCATCAAATCGACCGTATGCTCTACCCGAGCAGGAATACTAGCAACTGCCTCGGATTTCCCAACCGAACTTGGACCGCTGCCCGCGGTATGCAAAATGTGGTCTGGGCCATACTGGATTCTCCTCCCGCTGCAAGCTTGGACCTTGGCTTGTGCCCAACCACTGGCAGTCCTTTGATGCCCGCGCCGCAGCCACCTCAGCTTCCTGACGCCCAACTCGGTCAGCACCATCTCTTGCACATCGACAATGATCATCATCTTCCAGCATATGGACCTGCCGCTGGAGAGTGGTCATCTTCGGATTTGTTCCTCCACTCCGGTCCGGTATTTATACTAATAACTATGCAGCGTGTGTGCAACAGCACTGTCGAGGACACGAATTAACTCGTCTCGATGCAAAATGCCAGCCTCAGGGGCAGATCTACGCAACACTAGCCGATACACATGCCCCAACAACTCCTTCTCTGGATGCCAACTTATTCGAGAGTCTAAATCTGTATTGAGACTCTCCGCTGAGACGAAATTGCTAACACAGGACTTACACCGGCGCATCGATTCCGACTCTGTGGGTCCGGACTTGGCAAATCAAACGTCGACGCAACTTGAAAGCTCACGCTAACGGGTCTGCGCGCTGGCCATCCGGAGACGATCGTGCCCGTGGTGCTGCTTGCCATCCGCCTCAGCGCTATGGAGGATAATCCGTACACCTGACACAATATCACACCAGGCGCCTGCCAGGCTACCGATTCACCGCGGATTGGTGGCCGCCGCGCTTGCGGTTGGCTTATGCCCAACTGTGGCCGGGCCGTGGATGCTATCGCTGCGGCCGCGTCAGCTTCCCCACGACGATCTTAGCTGCCGACCGGCGCATCGACATCAACTCGACGACGCGCCGCTGAAGAGCATCCTAACTCGGAGGCGTGTTCGAGCTGCCCTGACGTCATTGGCGTCTTCATCAAGATGTTCTGGAGCGGTGGAGCAACAACACGGACATGGGCTGTTTGCGCAAGCAGTGCGCTATCTTTATTCCTCCACTCTGCACCGGTATTCATGCGATGCAGCCCGTGGGCAACAACGCTGTCCATTAGCGCCTCCAAATGATGCGCGCAGCAGATTGACCTCGGAGAAGCCGCACTGTATACTTCTCCAATGCTCAGTGTGCTCTTCCACCTTATCGGTCTTCTGAAAGCACTGATCAACCGACAGTGTGTTCCACCATACTGCATCTGCATTCGACCCTCAAGCATCTATCCCGCGCGGCCCATGTTCTGCGGGATCACGGACATGCCCGTCCGGCGGCGCGGCGCACTCCTCAGCCCGCCGGCAGGTGCGTCGCGGATGGGGACCCACCTGCGTACCGTTTTGTTGACGTCGGTGGGGCACCGGACTGGTCCCGGGTCCTGCATCTCGTCTCCTGCCAGGGACGCTGTTCGTTAGCCCGGGAGAGCGTCTTATGTGCCTTGAGCTGCTTAATTGCCAAATTAATGTGTGGATGCATCAATGGTCCCCGCGTGCGGCGACAGATACCAGCGGCGGAGCTAGCTCCACACGTAGCCTGTCTGTGTCCTAGTCGGACACCATCATCTGTCTCCTTCACTCCAATGCCCAGTGATCCACTGAGATCAGCACTGAAGAGCCTCGTGGATTTTTACAAAGAGATGTGCATATGGGCATGGTCTAATACCTCAGCTGCAGGAGCGGAACCTCAATCATGATATGATGCATTGCCGGGCAGCGTGAGCGCAACTGCGCCAGCAGCCTGTCGGGTCGGGCACCGCGAGGTTCGCGTTCGGCGCAATCACTGTGTCGCGTCGGACTGCCGGGATGACCTTCCCATCACACTGAGCCCTTTAAGTGTGGACGGAAGACGCGGAGGCAGTGACGCAACAAGGGCCAATACCTGCGACTTCCAGATCAGTGTAGGATACTGACCTATTTCATTCAATTAGGCGGGTCACGGTCACATCGGATTTTTTGGCCGAAATATTTCGGCGGGTCACGGGTCACAGCCAAATCTTTTGGTCCCAAACTGTCCTAATCGGGAAGATTTCGAAATTTTCGGCGCCTCAGGCGCGCCGAACTTCCCAATCGGGTAATAGGTCACGCGAAATTCGGCCTGTGGCCAGGTGGACATTTCGCCAAACGGTCACGGGTCACAGGCCCGCTGAATTGATCGAAATGGGTCAGTATTCCCTCCCCCCAGCTCCCCCCCACACACCAAGCAAGCAAGCAAGTAAATAATCACCACGACTCAACATTGAACTCCCCCACGTGACGGTGCTAGCCCAAGCCAAAGCTTTTGATACCTGATGTCACGCATCACACCAGACCAGTCTTGAGGCTTGGAGTTGGTGCAAGTCCAACCTAAGCTCAAGTTAACTTCAAGGCCCATTGAAACTGGGCCTGACCATAGTCATATGCCTGTCAGGGGGACCCCCACTTCGGCCTCCTTCAGACCATCCGAGCGCATCCGAGGCACATCCGACCGGCGCCCCCCTCGGACGCTCCGACCTACCCCAACCCTCGTCCTCGGCCTCCTTCGCCCGCACAATCACTGATCCGTCAAGACCCTCCCAACGATCACCTTGGGACAGAGCCTGCAACGCCGCTCAGCTCAGGCTTTCTGCGCTCTCGTCGGCAGTTACGGACGACCAGTATATAGTTGGCGCCCTAGCAGGCAGACCCTTAGAGTTTCTTCTCTTTGGATCCTCCCCTGCTAGGTCGGTCCCTCCGTGTATTTCCTGTAGCTTTTATTCACGTCTTGGATCCTCCCCTGCTAGGCTTTCGTCGGAGTCTCCAGGGTTGCCCTTACAATGCCATCCAGACAGCTGGTAGACCGACTGTGCTATGCTGCTGGTTCGCCGCCTGTTAGTGTTACTCAGACAATTGCTGAGTAAGCAGTGTTCTGAAACAGTGTAACGCTGTGACATT